GAGAGAGGAAACAAAAGCAGGGGGAGAGGGAGAGGGAGAAGCAGGATTCCCGCTGAGCAGGGAGCCCAATGCGGAGCTCGATCCCAGGACCCTGGGATCATGACCTGAACCGAAGGCAGACATTTAACGACTGAGCCACCCAGGTGCCCCAGAAAGAGGGAGTCTTATAGTAGAAACCCCGTTCAGTGAATAGAAAATCATTGCCACTACTTAATGGATATGAAAATAACAGAGATTAACATAAAATTAAAATATATAATGAAATTATCAGGTGAATAATAAAATTCATATTAAAAGGTAATTGGGTGGCAAAGCTGGTTGAGCATCTGACTCTTGATTTTGGCTCAGGTGATGGATCTCAGGATCAACCCCCGTATCCAGCTCCCCACTCCTTGGGGAATCTGCTTGTCTCCCTCTCTCTCTGCACTCCCCTCCCCCGCTCATGCATGTTCACTCACACTCTCTCAAATAAATAAATAAATCTTTAAAAAATACAAATAAAAAAGGTAACTCCACCTCGGTATACACTAATCAATATATGCTAATCCTCTCATATATACCCTCTCCTATCATACAAAATGGTTGTCAGGATTAATTATAAGTGTATCAATGATTACAGAGATTTTCTCTATGGATCTGAACTAGTCAACCCATAGTCCTGACCACAAATAAGAGTGAAAATCTTTTTGAAGAAATATAACAGGTAAAGGCCAGCTCCAACACCATTCATTCATTCATTTACTCAGTCCCTACTTGATACCAGGCTCTATTCCAAATGCTACAATTCAACAGTAAACAAAACACAGAAAGCTCCTACCATCATAGAGCTAGCATTCTAACAGGGAAACACAGACAGTAAATAAGTAAGTAAACTACGTAGCAGATAAATGGTGATTAGCTACCACAGAGAAAAACAGCCAAAAGGGTTTCAATTCTAAATAAGGCAGCCAAGGAAGCTTCACCAAAAAGATGCCATTTAAGCAAAAACCTAAAGGAGATGAAGAAGGCACATGGCTATCTGGGAAGAGTAGTGTAGCTATGCAAACCTTTCCAGCAGGTCCAGATAAGACAAAAACCCAAGTTCTTACCTTTCAAAAGCGGCTGGAAGGTTGGAATCTCTTGCAACTTGATGACATCGGGATCGTTGCTGACGTTCCGTGAGGGCTGGGAGCCTGGAGCTACAACCACAATATCATCCATCTTGGCTCTATGCTTTGCTGGAGAAGGGGTCACTGAAAATAAAATTACACTTCTCAAGAGCTGCATGTTAGCCAGCCCCCTCTGCCTTACCAAAGCTGTTTTCGGTACAGTCATTAAAAAAATTATTTTTACACAAAAAAAATGTTAACTGTAGTTATCCTGCAGCGAGGGCTGGAAAAGGGGAGATGAATCATGGGGGACCTCTATTTTCTACTTAAAAAAACCCCTCAAACATTACAGGAACTTATAACATGTATGAAACTGCTTTTGTAATTAAAAATATCTTATTATTCAGCACACAAAAATATAGGTAGGCTATGTTTTTAATTTTTATTTCTTTGATCCTCCTGACATTGTCCCTATTTTACCAATGAGAAAATGAGGGTACAAAATATGGCTCTGACCAACCCAAACTCAATAGTGCTAGAAAAACAGGAAAGGAATTGGAGGTCTTTGGGATATCGGTATATGTGGCCCATCCCTGTGAAACTGAGGTTGCAAGCTGTCTAGCCACTTTATCACAGCAAGTCAGGTGTATTTAATACATCTTACTCATGGGGGAAAAAAAATCATGGTTCTTAACCCTCTATGATGGATCTATTCCTGAGGCACCAGCCCCCTCACCCTTACAGTTACAAGCACTAGTCCAAGAAGGGCAGAAATAAATAGTAGGTCCATTCTAGGCTGAGGCCAAATTCAGAATTTGTAGGACTGCTAGACAGGCAGGTCAATTTCAGGTCCCTTGAGAGGAAGTAAAGCATTTGTAGGGAACTGATTCAAACTACCAACAACTTCTTAGACCTCTCCTCAAAAATCTTCCTGGTTAGGGCAAGAATAAACCTTTAAAGTGGTTTACCCTCTAGGAGATAGTATTTGCAAGCTCATCATAGTCATGTCTCAAAGGCTGATGCTGGGATGTCACAGAACTGCCCTGCCTCCTAGAGGCTAGTCTCCTGTGGCTTGGCATTTACTCTTTTAGAAGCTCTGCTACTTTTACTGCTCTTCAAGAAGTACCTCTTAACCTCTTTTGGTAATTTCCCTAACATTTCACAAATCCCAAGCCAGAAATCTTTTCTGCTACAAATTAAGTGATTTCTTCTTCCCCAGACCCCAGCAGAAAACAGATTTCACTGGGTTCTAGATAACTTCTATCACCTTGCCTGTAAAATGGGACTGTAAGGATTAAACGTAGATGCACGTAAACCGCTTAGCACAGGGGAATTGGCAGTCTAACCTATGCTATTAGTATGCTACAGTACAAGAGTTCATGCTGTTGGTCAGTAGGTGAGCAAGCATATTAAAAAGATGCCACACTTCGGGGCGCCTGGGTGGCTCAGTCGTTAAGCATCTGCCTTCGGCTCAGGTCAGGATCCCGGAGTCCTGGGATCGAGCCCCGCATCGGCCTCCCTGCTCATTGGGAAGCCTGCTTCTCCCTCTCCCACTCCCCCTGCTTGTGTTCCCTCTCTCGCTGTGTCTCTCTGTCAAATAAATAAATAAATAAATCTTAAAAAAAAAAAAAAAAAGATGCCACACTTCTTCCCCTCAAATATGCTTCTGGACTGACATAGAGGCAAGAAAATAAAGGGTAACAACTCTTACTGTACTTTCTGTAACAGATAAAATATTCTGGGCCTTCCAAGGAAATAGAAGGATGTATAGCAAAGCTAGTAGATGCTGCTCACCATTAAAAGCTGTCCCAATAGAGCCCCCCAAATGAGGGTCTGAACTAGTCTTGAAGGACACATTTCATTGTGGAATAACCCTAAATCTGTCAGCTTCTACATTTCTGAATTACAGATCCTACCAGGCAGAGAACAGTTCTATGTATTTACAGACAGTTGTGGATTCTAAGACTATCTAGCACCTCTCTTTTCCCATCTGTAAAACAGGGTTTAAAATTTCATAACATATACAAATAGCGAATCACTAGATCGTACACCTGTAAGTACGTACACCTGTAAGTAATAGGTTATATTTAGGCTCCAGATTTAATCCAGTTTGGATTAGCAACTGGAGCGTATCCAGAGCAGTCCCAGTTGTCCTAGGGTTTGTGGCTAACCAAAAAGATTAAAAAGGAGCATATGATCCTCAATTAAGCATCAGTTGTTTTATTTACTGAGTGCTTACTATATTCCTAACACAATAATCCTCCCATTCCTATCTGAAACGCTGGGAGAAATCTTAAAAAATCGCACGGGGGAAGAATAGAGAAAAACACCAGAGCCTACGGTGCTGGCCGACTCCTATAATACTAGAAAAGCAGTCGAGACACCTTCTCAAGGGAAAATGCAGTTTCTGGAGAGGTTTGCACCCAAGGGTTCAAAGCGATCGTACACCTGTCACACATCCCTTCTGAAAAGGAACCTCCAAGACCCACTTTAAGAAGGAACATGTTCTTAGAGGTCCTGTCTATGATCCATCCACTGTGTGAGCCAAAGCTCACTGTGTCAGTCATAAGTACTAACACCAAATATTAATTAGGTTGTCCCGTAAAGAGGAGGCGGAGCTGGGAGAAACACCTGCTTTGAAAATAAATAATAGGCATGGGCGCACACGCTGGTTTAGCTTGCAGTCACAGGCACTCACTCCCATCAAGGGAATGACGGCTAGGGCAGACGGTACTTCTTTCTTTTTTCAAGAAAAAAACATAGTGAGGGCTCTCTGTGCGTTCAGTGTCCGCGGCCCCAGTCCCCACTAGGCTGGAAGGCAGCCCCCTCCGCAAGCAGACAGGGCCGGCTGGAGGAGGAAGTTAGGACACCGACCTGAGGAGTTCAGATCGTTGGGTCGGCTCTCGACCTCGGAGCTCTGCTCACTGCCCATGGTGCCGGCAGCGGTGGCAGCGGAGGAACGGCGGGCCAGGCGGTCACCGCTCCGGCGGCGGGACGACCGGGCAGGGGCCGGGGACAGGGGCAGGGATGCTACACCGAGTGTGGGCGCCGCTGCAGGGCCAACCCGCGGAGACCGCGCGCCGGGCCCACGCAGGTGCGCGGGCGACGGGGGATGGGAGGCCCTATTTGGGGAACAGACGCGCAAGGAAGCGCAGCCCGGCTGCACGAAGCTCGCCCGCTTTCTTCCTGGGACCCTAAAGAGAGGAGGTGAAGAACGCCCGGCATCAGCCGCGCTAGCGGCCGGCGGGCGGCGCCCCTTTCACTCACTCGCTCCTGCGCCGCAAGCTCGCTCCTTCCGGGACGCGGATTGGCGGCGCCGACTGCGCGCGGCCGTCAGTTCCGGGTTGGAGAGCCCACCACGCCCCCGCCCGAGAGAGGGCGCGTAGGGTGACTAGGGCGTCGCAGCCTTAAAGGGCCCGACCGCCTCAAAGCCAGAACCGCCCGAAAGAGTAAGGCCTTCCCTAGTATAATGATGTGTCGCCTCTAAGCATCACCCATATTTTGGCACTTTACTGTTAGAACTTTATAAGGGGGGAGGGATTGTTTGTTTTGTTGAGATATAATTGACATATAACATTTTATTAGCTTCAGGTGTACAGCCTAGTGATTCAGTATTTGTATATATTGCAAAATTTTAAACCCTGTTTACAGATGGAGAAAGAGAGGTCCTAGATAGATTTCGGATTAGCATCCACAACTGTCTGCATGCAAAGCTTCTGTTTCAGTTCCAGAAGCTAGGAGTTTGGCAGTGGACAGCCATACAAAAAATATAGATGGTGAAGGAAGGACCTGGAAGTAGAGAAAAATGAAGAAATAGAAAATGCTGATTCACATGTTACGGTGTGTGTGCATCCTCAGGGGAAAGTGGGTGCCCCAAAGCACTTTCTGGGGACCTTGACAGTTATTCACAAGCCATTCCGAAACCAGCAAAGGTGAGGATAGAGTACAAGCAATACAAAATGGAAACCTCCAGTTTGGGCAGATCAAGGACAGAGACCTAGCAAAGCAGTGCCACCAAAGACTTGGGTGGCTTTGGGATTCTCAGAACTTTGCAACTCATTTTATCTGATTCCCTCATGAAATTTCAAGCAATGTCCTAAGATTTTATAATCTCAGAAGGAATGCCAAATGGACTGTATGATTAAGTCCCCTCCACTCTATAGACTCATAGACATTTTGCTTATGTTACCGTATTTACTTTTCAAAGCAACCCTGAGGCCCACAAACAGGTAACTTCTTCATGGTCACCAGGTAGTAAATGGTGGAAACAGGATTTAGGACTGTCTGATTTCAAACTCATGCTCTTTCCTCTCCTCACCATTACAATACTATGAGAAAAGTGCAAAAAATGTAAATTCAGTATTTGGTGGGAATATAAAGAAAGAACTAAAAACTGCCTGAGAGATCAAGTAGGCTCCTAAGAGGTGGTGTTTGACTAGTCTTGAGGCTTACATATACCACCAGGGTGATGGGACCATTCCTTCCTGGAGAGCCCCTGGCTCCTCTCCCAGGTCTCCCATCTTTGGGGGTGGGCAAGAAAGGAGGGAAAAGGGGAATACAACACATGTTCTGGCTCTTGTTCTCCCTTTTCCACATCAAAGTATATTTATCTTGTGTTCCATGCCCTAATCTACACTGATGTGATGGTGTTTTTTATGCTTCCCATTGGTTGAACATTTCATTCTAAACTGAACATTGTAAACATTCTCAAATGAAGAATGAACAAATATATCATCCTATTCTCTCCTGGCCTGCAAGGTCTCTGCTGCGAAATCTTCTCATCACCTTATAGGGGTTCCCTTATATGAGAGAAAATGTGTTTCCCTTACTGTTTTAAAAATTATCTTTGTCAAATCTTCTCATCACCTTATAGGGGTTCCCTTATATGCTCTTCCTTTCCTGGCAAGGAGAACTCTTTCTAGCTGGGAGGTTTCCTCTTGGTGCTGAGCAATGCTGGTTTGGAGGATGGGATGATACAGTCAAAATGAAACTAAAAAAAACTCTCAGGTTTTTTTGTTGTACTGCATTGCTGATGTTTCTTAAGTGGGCTCCAGAACTCTCCCAGAGCTGTTTTTGTTTGTGGATAACTGTCTAATTGTTGATCTTTTTGTGGGGACAGAGGCTGAGATCTCCTATATCACCATTTTTTTTCCCACTGAGTAGATAAATAAAATGTGGTATATCCATATAATAGAATATTATTTGCCTATCACCAAGGACTGAAGTACTAAAACATGCTACAACAAGGATAAGCCCTAAAAACATTATTCTACTGGAAAAGATCCCATCACAAAAGATCACATATTATAGTTTCCATTTATATGAAATATCCAGAAGAGGCACTATAGGACACAAAAATAGATTAGTGGTTGCCTAAAGCTGAGGAGGAGGGGTGTGAAGGGGGAAAGAGGGAGTAACTAACTGTTAATGGGTATAGGGGTTTCTTTCTGGGAGTGATGAAAATGTTCAAAATTTATTGTTGTGGTGGTTGTACAACTTTGTGAATATATTAAGAACCACTGAATTGTACCATTTATTTTTTTTAAGATTTTATTTATCTGAGAGAGAGAGTGTGAGCACAAGCAGGGGGGAGGGGCAGAAGGAGAGGGAGAAGCAGACTCCCCACTGAGCAGGAATGGGGCTCCATTCCAGGACCCTGAGATCATGGCCTGAGCCCAAAGCAGACACTTAACTGACTGAGCCACCCAGGAGCCCCTAAATTGTACAATTTAATTAGGTGAATTTTATGGTATGTGAATAATATCTCAATAAAGCTGTTATCAGAGAAAGGATATAGAAATACAAAAGGTCTTCATTCCTTGAGTCAACATTTATTGGTAACCTATAATGTGCCAGGCATTTCCTAGAGGCTAGGAATAAATGATCCAACAAGATCCCATCCCTATCCTTAGGAAGCTTACAGTCTGGTAGTGAGAAAATTAATTAGGCATTTATAATTAAGGATTCTGCCGGAGGGGCTTTAGAGGTAGAAGACATTTGGAACCAATGCCTTTTTGCACCTTTAAAATCATTTCCACATGAACAGCAACCTATGTGACTTATATACACAATTGAACAGTCTTTTTGGGTTTATAAAGCACTTTCATAATGATGAGGGAAACAAAAGCAAGAGAAATGTGGCTTAAATTAAATCTCCTTACAGCTTGCAGCCCACTGATAGATACCTGACACATGAGAGGAACCCATGGTTGCCTTAATGCCTTAATGTTTATGTTTTATTAAAGACTACAAGTAACCTTAACAGCAGCTGGCCCCTCAAGGTCCTGAAGGCCTTCCTTCCAAATTCCTTAGAGACTTACGCTCTCCCTGACCCCCGCTAATTAAAAAATATATATAATCAGTCACTCCTCACAATCCCAGTGCAGCTCTTTCTGCCTATAGGTCCTGTCCCTGTGCTATAATAAAATCACCTTTTTGCACCCAAAAGGTCTCAAGAATTCTTTCTTGGCTGTTCGCTCACAAACCCCAAAACTTCCAAATTTCATCAATAATATTGGCCCTATATGACCTGCCTATAAAGTAGATTACACTTTTTTTTTTTTAAGATTTCATTTATTTATTTGACAGAGATAGACAGCAAGAGAGGGAACACAAGCAGGGGGAGTGGGAGAGGGAGATGCAGGCTTCCCGCTGAGCAGGGAACCCGATGCGGGGCTCGATCCCAGGACCCTGAGATCATGACCTGAGGCAAAGGCAGACGCTTAACGACTAAGCCACCCAGGCACCCCTAGATTACACTTTCTTGATTTTACAAGGAGGTTAAGGAATTTATTCTTGATCACAAAGCTAATAAGTAATAAAAGCAGGATTCAAATTTTCTGAAACTCATTATGCATCTATCCATTTCAGACCAGCTCCTCCTCCCATATTTCTATATTGCCTGGCACTCCAGCTAGCCAGTCTCCTACACCAAAAATCTGCTTACCCCTGCCACCACATCCAACCAGTCACAAATCTGGAGAGCTCTCTCCTTAATTTCTCTTCTAACCTCCACACCCTGTTCAGGGCCTCCTCACTTCTTCCATTTCTTGGAAAGCAGAAGGCCTCTGGCTTCACCTCCTTCAATCCATCCTATATATGGCTGGCAGACAGAATTTTTAGAATATTAATAAAGTATCTGGACCTGCCACTGCCCTATAAAAACCTTCAATAATTCCCCATGGCTTCAGGATAAAGTTTAAAATTTGGCATATGAGAACCTTCTTGCTCTGACCCCCGCCTTTCTCTCTATTCCTCTATGTACACGAGGGAAACTTCATGCCAGTCAGGATAAAATTCCCTGAATACTCACACCATTTTCTCTGTCTGGAATATTCAGCCTTTTTCTCTCCCTCTAACTAACCGAACTTCATCCTTCAAGATTAACTTACGGTTGAAAACTTAAGTCCACACAAAACTTACACATGGATGCTTATAGCAGCTTTCTTCACGATTCCCAAAACTTGGAAGCAACCAAGAGGTCTTTCAGTATGTGAATGCATAAACTAGTACATCCAGACAATGGAATATTATTCAATGCTAAAAAGAAACGAGCTATTAAGCCATGAAAAGACATGGAGAAAACAGATGCATCTTACTAAGTGAAAGAAGCCAATCTGAAAAGGCTACGTACTGTATGATTCCAACTATATGACAACTGGAAAAGGCAAAACTATGGCAATAAAAAGAACAGTGATTGCCAGGGGTTGTGGTGGGGGAGGGATGAACAGGCTGAGCACAGAGGATAGTTAGGGCAATGAAAATACTTTGGGGGCACCTGGTTAGGCATCTGCCTTTGGCTCATGTCATGATCTCCAGGTCCTGGGATCAAGCCCCATATTGAGCCCTGCATCAGGCTCTGGGCTCAGTGGGGACTCTGCTTCTCCCTCTGCCTCTTGCCGCTGCTCGTGCTTGCTCTCTCTCTCTCTCTTTATTTCTCTCTGTCTCTATCTCAAATGAATAAAATCTTTTTTTTTAAGATTTTATTTATTTATTTATTTGACAGAAAGAGAGAGAGCACAAGCAGGGGGAGCAACAGAGGGAGAGGGAGAAGCAGGCTCCCCGATGAGCAGAGAGCCCAATGTGGGGCTTGATCCCAGGACCCTGGGATCATGACCCGAGCCGAAGGCAGACGCTTAACCAACTGAGCCACCCAGGTGCCCTGAATAAATAAAATCTTTAAAAAAAAGAAAATACTTTTTGTGATCCTATAGTGGTGGATATATATTATTACACATTTGTCCAAATCCATAGAGTGTAAT